CGGCAACTGGTAGTCCAACAAGCCAAACCAGAGTACAATGCAAACAAGGTGCCAATCTCATGTACTCCTTCTTGTGTGTGGTCGAATTGATTTTCTGCTCGTCTGAGGCGGGGGCTGCAGCTGCGGATGGGGCGCCACTCGGCACATCTCTGGCAAGCTGAGCTGGCTCGGGGTTGGGGTCGTTTGGCTCCCCTGCTGGCACAGGCTTGAGCTTCTCAAGGCTTCTAGCCGGTGTAGCTACAGGTCTTGAAGCCAGTGCCCCACTGTCCTTGGCATCCTTGCGCTCTTGCAAAACCCGCTTAGCAGACTCTTGGTTGCTCATGAGTTCCTCCGATTCAGCCTGCTCCTCTTGGTCTTCATCCTGCCCACACTCCTCTTCCTCACCTTCATGCCATGAATCATCATTCCATTCCTCCCCTTCATATTCCTGCTCAGCCTCCTCTTCGTATTCCTGCTCAGCCTTCCCCTCACCTTCCTTGTCAGCCTTCCCTCCACCTCCCTTCTCAGCCCCAGTAGTAGCACTGCCTGGGCCTGGCTTCGGGTTCGGGGCTGGGTTCTCAATCTGAAGCTTCAGGTTGTTCAGAAGCCCTAGCAGGTGGCTGTAGTCCCCATTGGCACCAACTTGCGAAGCTGATGCCCCAAGCCTCGGATCACAAAGCCATGCCCCCGAACGGTGTTAACCCAGAACAGTACAAGATCGACTGGACCCTACAACATATTCCTCAACCCCAGGAGCGATTCGATGAGCTCGGTGACAGTCTGGCTCCCATTGACCTGGGTCTCCAACTCTGCTGGATCAGTCGCCGGATTCGTGGAGTCCATTTGCTCCTCGCCGAGCGCTAGCGAGTCACAAGACCTGGGCTTTGATAAGATGTAGGGCTCAGTTTTCGGTGGGGGTTTGGGGGCTTAAGGTTGGGCTCTTCCAGCGACAGTTTAGGGTTTAGGGTTCAGGGTTTAGGTTTTAGGGTTTAGGGTTTAGGGTTTTGGATACGGCTCGCACAAACAAGCCTACTTGCAATCTAGAGACCAGCCCTCTGCCAGCAGGTTCGGTTGCGCATCATGGGGCCAATCTTTGGGCCACTTGCTGTCTTTGGTATCTTTGGGGGCACCTTGATTGGGCTCAGACTGCTTGTATCGCTTCCTTCGGGGGCAAGGTGGCTCTGCATCCTTACGATCAATCTCAGCGATCATCTCCTCCAAGTCTGCTTGATAATCCAATGACCCCTCTTTGCCTGTGCCCTCCGCCAGATCCTCCTTGGCACGCGATCTGTTGAATGTTTTGCTTCTGGTTCTTTTCTTGCCTCGATTGTTTGTGGATTCCTCCAACTCCGGTGCCTCCTCCTTCTTGCTAGCAGGTGTCTCCCCTTCTGGCTCCTTCTCCTCTGGCGCTGGTGGTTTGTTCTGTGGCTTCTTCTTCTTCTTCAGACTGCTGTTCTTGGAACTGGCAGGGCTGGATCCCTCCCCTTCTGGCTCCTTCTCCTCTGGTGCTGGTGGTTTGTTCTGCGGCTTCTTTTTCTTCTGCTGATTGCTGTTCTTGAGTTCGGTGCTGGGTGCCCCTTCCTCCGGTTCCTTATCCTGGTGATCTGGCTCTGGCTTTCTGGCCTTCTTTTTGGGGTTCGAGGCAGGGGTGGGCTCTGGCTCTGGCTTTTTGGCCTTCTTTTTTGGGTTCGAGGCAGGGCTGGAAGGTGCTGTGCTTGTGGGCTCTGACAGACACGGGTCCTCGAGAGAAGAACCTCTTTTGGGTTTTGCCTTCCCTTTTGGCACCTTGGGCTCGGAACCTTCTGCATCGGGCTTGTGCTTGTTGCTGCCTTTCTTCACTGCTGTATGACCATGATCATCATCATCATCATCATCATCATCCTGAGGTGGCTCTGCATCCAAACAACTCTTACCCTTCTTGAGGATACCCTTGGGAGGAGAGAGCTCATCATGCTTCGGCTCATGCTTTGGCTTTGAAGCCCGAGGCTTTGCTGGTGGCAGCGACAAGCCGACTTCGTCAGGATCTGTGATAGCTGCATCCTTCCTGAACTTCAGCATGACTTGCACTGCATCAGGAAGGCTTAGCTTCTCAGTCTGCATGAGTTCCCCCAGGGTCACATCACAAGTGCCAGGCAGAATAGGCGTAGTCAGATCGTAGGCAGCATTCTTTTGCAAGTTCTTGAGTGCCTTGCCCCTTGCTAAAGAAGCATTGAGCGATGCATTCAGCTTGCGCTGGCTCTCAGCTGCGCAATCATCGACCGAGGCCTTCTTCTTCGATGCCGGCTTGCTGGATGCAGGTGCCATGCTGCTGCTGGCAGCACTAGCAGCCAAACTAGCTGTCTCCTAGCCTAGTGAGTCTGCAAAAGGGACGAGCAGACACCAATCATGAGACCAAGATCACATGTACATGTATCAGCAGTACAGTTTCTTGGCATCGAGTGACCAATATCATATTGCAACCTCCCGCCTTGAAGGTGACCCAAGACCCAGCTACATGGATAGGTCGGGGATTCCATCTTCAGTGCCTAGGGAGTAGGAAGAATCTCGAAAATCACGCCGTTCACAGGGATTCACGATCTAGGTTGTTTTGTCACCAGAGCCACGCTTGGGCTATCCTGCCGTGGCACTACTGGCTGCATTCCCGAATTTGGCCGGAAAGCTCTAATTTGCCCAAATATCATTAAAAAACCCTAATCACGCAAATCACGCTTTATATCTCTCAAAGAACGCTGGATACCTAGCAAAGAACGCTAAATCACGCGAAGTCGGCCGTTCCGAATTAGAAGCCCAAGTGCCCACACAGGGCTTTAAAGTGCCACTTGCAACCCCATGGGACCTGTGCCTGTTCTAGGACTCCTCCATAGCTTAGTCTTTAGTTAGGAGCATTTGGGCCTGCTACGTCCGTTCAAAGCATCTTTGGCGATAGCCGGGAGTTCTTTCAGCCTTTCAGCCATGAACATTGCACCTCCATGCTCTCGAACCAGGTGCCTCGGATGCCCAGTATCCCATATATGTGTCCCCAGAAGAACTGTCATGTATCAGTATAGCCTGGGGGCTTGCGAATCTCCAGCATGACATGGTCCTTAAGATGCAGCAGCAGTCCACATGTGTGACTGTACACATTCACATACTGACCTAAGGAGGCATAGATATGCTACATGTTAGTTTAGTGTCAACCAAACAGCCAAGGATCACCGGAAACTCTGCTGCAGATCACTGGCTATCTCCCACGACTACAGCCGAGGACCTGCCTGGACAAAAGAAACCACTAAGTGTAAACTCTGTTCTTCACCAGAAGCTAAACCCCAACCCAAGAAGCCGAAGGGCACAACACCATTGTCATGATTGTACATAGCACACCCCCAGCAAACATCATCACCTACCTCAAAAACCCTGCGAGCTGGTGTTCCAGATGGGAATTAAAAGGGCTTCCCATAGCTTGTGCAGGCATATAGAATGCTGTCTAGAAGAACAGTATGGTTTAGTTGTTTAGTTGAATAAAACCTATTGTTAGGAAGGGTGTCTGGGGGAGGGGATCACACCATAGCCGCCTTAAGCCCACAAAACCACCAAAAAGCCATCGAACCATATAACCTGGTTCTCTCCAGCTTTCAGATATAGTCCTAAAGTAGCAAGATGTACCAGCCAACATACCATCTCTAACGTAACAAAGTAACCTCACTCCTCCATATATGAGTATACTGGTGAACAAAAACAATCGTATCCCTAAGTGCAGAACCCAAGCCCAGCAAACAAAGACCTAAATAGATACGTATACATATATATTAAGCCACCTGATGGACAGATTGAAAGTTAGTGCCATAGGCTTCAATATTATCGTTCTATAGTTCGTCAATATATCTGGTTGCGGCAAAACCAGAACCGTATCAAGAGAACTCCCAAAGTCCCGAAAATGACATCTGAATTCCTGCGTGTACAAACCAGTTTGTGCCTAGATTCAGCTGTTCTAGAGAATTCCACAAAGGTATGCCGAAATCCCGGAAATCACGAAATTAAGGCTATGTGTGCAATCCCGAAAATCCCGAAAATCATGTCTTAAATCTCGGAAATCCCGGCTAAATCCCGGCTGCATCTCTTCTCAATGAATTGATTAGAAAAATAAAAATCCCGATTATCCCGGGCCTTCTGTTTAAAGTGCTAGGACTTTCTCATTAGTAACTTAAAGCTAATTTATATACAGAATCCAGACCTAGCTAGGACTGTCAAGTGCAGTTTACTTGATTGTGGCCTAAATTGGGTAGGGTTTCTCGGGTATATTTTTGGGAACCTCAGCTAGACACCCATCTGGATTTGTTCCCAGGCCTATTAAATTACCAGCAGCCCAGTATAGTCTCTGGCAAGTTTCCCAGTCACCCGGGCAAACCAAATGTTTGCACCCGGCAACGCAGCGAATCACAACGCCCAGTTCTGCCTGCGCAGGGCCAGAGGATGAACGGCACAGGATTGGTCTGATTTCTGCGTGGCTTGGCAATGCATAGGAAGTTCTGCTGTTCGGTTGGGGCAAGCAAGCATATGTCCTGGTATACGTTCTCATGATGTATTGTGTCGTAGTATAGATATCTGCACAGTACTGTAATGCCAACCAGCTGCATCTACAAAGAGGTCGGTATCGATCTCGGAGAGGTGTTGCACAAACAGCTCCAAGTCAGATCGCGATAAATCCACAGTCCGCGGGGATTTGGGACCAGGAAGGACAGCCTCAGCTAGAACAAACTTAATTAAATGATATCTTTCAGCAGTTGACTTCAGACACTGGTCTGCATGCGCATAGAACAGATTTCAGTCTTCAGCCACATCCTGACGACTGCGGAACAGGTCGACGATGCAATGGCCAAATTTTGGAGTGTATCTCCTCAGTGCTATATTCGATAGAAAAGAGCTGGTTTGCAGAGCACACACACACACAACACACACACACACACACGCACACACACACAAACACAAACGCACACCCCACACCCAGGCACCAACCCCCCACCCACACCCACAATGACCCACGAGCCCAGGCACCCATCCCCCAGCCAACCCACCCACACCCACACCCACACCAACACCCAGACCCACACCCA